AATGAGAATCCCCGTTCAGTTATTTTTTACTTTTTAGTGGCTTTTTTTTAAGTCCGTTGAATTTTTTTGCTGTGTGAGCGGTTGCGGGTTCGAGTCCCGCAATTTTTAGTGCCATTTTTAAGACGGTATATTTTTTTATTGTACTACTTTCTATCCGACGTGTACCTACTACCTCCTCTGACTAAGCATGGCCGTTGTTGCGTTCTGATTGTTGCTGTGGGTCTCTTAACTTCTAATATGTAATTTTTGTCGATAATTTTAAAGTCTAATATTGTATCACTCTAGGGTATACCTAAGCAATAAGGGCATACTAGAGTATAAGGGTAGGGGTAGGGTCTAATATTGTATCTAATATTGTATAGAGAAACCTAACCCATATTAAAAGGGTTAATCCTATTAAAACAAATATTTAATTAAGCCTGCTGAATGGAACGACATTTTAAATAAAACTATCTTTTAGAATTTTTTCGCGGATTTATTTTGATTTTTAGTTTCCGACATTTCGAATGTTCTCTCCCGTGACCATGATTGCTGTAAAGCATTCGAAACGTCGCGAACCAAAAATCTAAATAAATCTTTGAAAAAAATATCAAAGATTCGCGTAAAAAGGAAAATATTATGGGACTACCTTATTAAAAGAGTTTTTGTTATAACACTATTATTAACCCCTGAAATATAACCAAATAAGTTTCTGGTGTAAGCTTTCTACGGAACCCTAAAAGTTATTCCAAATCAGTCTTTTTAAATGTACATTTTATATTTGCCATAATATTTGAGTTAGTTATTCGAGAGCATGAGGGAATTACACTCACTCACAAGTACCTATACCTACTTACGTACGCATATATTTTATCCACGAATCTGTAAGTACTCTAATGTTTATTTTGAAGTGCCACTCCTGTTCCTAGAAGTTGTTGGATAAATATTCCATTGTATAGTTATAGGTAACTACCTACTTGTATAACTTTCATTTTATACCTCACTTAGAAAATTGCCTTAGATTTACATATAAATAAAGAAATAATTAAGGGCAAGTCTGGCTCACACGCTTAGGGTTCCGTCGGTCAAAGGGAAATACCCTATAGGTTTTGATTCCATTGTAATTGTAATTTTACTATGGCTAGACAACTGTGCAGTAGATATAAGAGTGCACAAGAGTGCTCAGAAGTGAAGAAAGTGCACTAAGATGGGAAAACAATTCAACCCGATCGGTTATATATTAATCAGACGCAGGACTCACTGCTTTATGTGCTCTCCGAAGCAAAGAAAACCCCAACTATATTTGTACTTGGCCCGATACAGGACTCGAACCTAGGATCGGATCTATCAACCACTAATTCACTGTAGTTTCACCATTACTCGTGTTGCCACTGTCAAGCTAAAAGTAAATACTGAACAATTTCTTCTTCTTCTCCCTGCCCATTTCCTAAGGTGTGTTAAGATAGCAGTGAAAGGTTAGCAGAATCGTTCGAAACATATACGGTATTCTGTGGCTAATTAGTTGATAATTAGTTGCTAAAACCCCGATTTTGTTGCTTTGTCCGATTTCGAAAAAAAAGAGTTACTGCTATCTTAACGTTAAGCTAGCAGTAAACTCACCGGGACCGGCATGGATTAAATGCAATTATACATCAGTATTTGTTGCTAATTTGTTGCTGACAAATAGTGTAATAAAATTTAACAAAAACCCTAGAATTGGCTAGACCTGGAGACCTGTAGCCGTATCCATGCTATCTTAACATGCACTTTTTTTAACAAGACGGCGGTATGGATTTGTTGCTCATCGTAAATAAAATCGGAACACCCCAGAAAGTCAGCAATAAAATAAAAACTAAAATTCTGCTACACCTGGAGACCTGTAGCCATGTCCATGCTAACTTAACATACACTTTTTTTAACAAGTATATATTAGTAATTGTATAAAAATGTGTAATATATGTTGTATTGTATTATTTTTTTATGTTATTTTCATATATATTTGAAAATAAATTTTGAATGAAAAATACTGAACAATTTGTTTACATGAAACCACATTGCTTTATTCTGATCTTTTTGTTTGCTATACTTTTTTAAGCCTTGTACAGATATATTGGAGCCAAAAGCTTTTGGAGCTTTTTTATTTACACATCTTGGCCAATAGTGAATATATTTTCATTTCTTTTTATGTTTAAGTTATAAAATGTTCGCTTCTTTTTATAAATTTTTAAATATACTAGCGACCCACCCTCGCTCCTCTCAGGTTCGTCCCTAGAAACGTTTTAAGGGTCAGTATAGATTTCTCAGAGATGACATATTTTCCCGCAGTAAAAAGTACCGTATATGTTGGCCCGGATAACCAGCTGTCATCATACCAAATTACATCAAAATCTGTCTTGTGGTGTTTTCGTGACGTGTTCCCAGACAGACAGAATTCTAAAAACTATAGATTCGTCCTCTGTATCGATAATAATGAGTATTTCAATAAGATTTTCCAAAAAAATATTTGATGTACAGATTCGACTCAGTTACAATTTTATTATATGTATAGATTATTTCTTACTTTAACGAATAATAGTCATTAGTATTTAATAAGAAAACCTCTGCAGTGAAACGTCTCTCAATCATTTTACTCCAGAGATAGGAAAGTTGTTACTTGGATTGCATTCAGCTCGCTTGTTTTGTTCAGGACGTGTTCTGTTTGTGTGGCTCTATAGTTCTCTTTGAGTACACATTTTGTTTTGAAACCAAACTACGTTACTTCGTTTGAATAAAAATATTTGTTTTTATGAAACTCTAGCGTTTCAGCATATACGAATTTTTAATATAGTTTTGTTTATAAGAATTTTTCTATCACTTTGCATAATTGTTATATTACACTAGCATTGCCCGCGGTTCTGCCCGCATTCAGATAACCAAAAACTAAATTCTTAGGTTTTACATATTAGTATACTCTTACATTGCAGTTTTTGTATTTTTTATTAGAAATGAGATATTTTACCGTGGTAAAAAGTATTCTATATATTGACCCGGATAACCAGCTATCATTATACCAAATTTAATCAAAATCCCTCCAGCGGTTTTTCGGTAATGCGGTAGCAGACAGACAAAAATTCTAAAAACTATAGATTCGGCTTCTGTATCGATAATAATGTCTATTTCAATAAGATTTTGAAAAAAATATTTCATGTACAGATTCGGCTCAGAATTTTATTATATGTATAGATTAATGTTATAAATAGCTTGGATCATTTATAAAGAGATACATTTCAATTTTTTTATATTTATTTAAATTTTCATAAAAGCCTGGATTTTGAAATATCTAAATACCGAATATATAAGACTAAGTCTTGAGTTACATTATTCAGTAAAGCTAGAAGGTTCTTATGATGAAAACCTTGATGGGGGTCCGGTGTGAGATGACTAAGTGAGTAAGTCTCACAGAACCTATCTATCCCTTCTCTTCCCTGCATCACAGCAACTATCTGTCCCTAAAGCGGGTAGTGAACCCACGGCGGGTTTCGCCTGCGACATAAACAATCCAAAAGCAAAGTGAAAAAGCTTACGATCTTTATCTGCAATTCCAAGATTGTAAGCACTTATTAATTAATTGTAAGTCAATGGTATTCTGTCTCATATAAAATACCATATATATCTAATACATGCCATGTTATATTTTGATTTGTGATAGTTTAAAATGTTATTGGGCAAGTAAAGTTCTAGATGTAGTTGAGAGAAAATCGTGATCCCATCAAAAACATAACATGTAAACTCACTCTAAATCTTCTAGGCTTCTAGCTTTATCTATAACTAAGTTACAGGGGGTCGAAAATATCCTAATTAGTATTTATAAATTAAAAATATAAAATACTCAGCAGCATCATTGCCATATATATTATATAATATAGAAAGGTACAAAAAATAAGTTATTAAAACACACACACACACACACACACACACACACACACACACACACACACACACACACAGGTACGTGTGCACACACATACACACACATACGCACGCATGCACGAACAAAGGCCTCTGAACAATTTTATGTTTGCTTATTTAATTAATGCCTTATACTACTGTTTTAGCACGTACTTGGTCTTGGAAATACTTTTACCGAAGCGAGTAGTATGTTTGTTTTGTACGAGTATATTCTGAAACTAAATAGTTTGCCTTGCTTAGAAAATGCGTATAAACCATTAAAAAAAGATTATCTCCTTTGAATTCATATAATAGAGATTATAATTCACTGCAGAACGTCAGACCATTGTTATTAACTTTAATGCAGTCGCTATTATCTAAGACATCTCTCTGAGTCTTCAATCCATATATACTAATATTATAATTGTAAAAGTTTGTTTGTTCATCCTTCTTTCACGTGGAAACAGAGTGACGGATTGACGTGATTTTTTGCGTGGAAATAGTTGGCTTTTACCCCCGAAAATTATATCATTCCCACAGGAAAGCACGTTATAATATAACCCACAACCACTCGTCATACCTATGTATATAATATGTATGTGGGACGAACCCAAGGCAAGGGTGAGTCGCTAGTCATAATATAATGTGGAAAATTATCACATACAGTTTAGACTGATTGCAATCTAACATATATGTGTAAATAATAATTGTATGTCCATTTGTTTCGTAATGTATGCTAAGTAGTTCCTATTTTATACATGCAAGAATCTGTTATATTCTTATGTGAAAACCAAGGAAGGACATATTACCATCAACGTACTAATAGGAACACTCGTTGGACTTTATGATTTGTTAGTTTGAATACTATAAGCAAGACCAGTTAGTAATTTAGATGTATGTCAGTGTGCTCGTATATTTAGTAAATTAAGAATAGGGGGAAATTTTATACCATTTAAAAATAATTATTGTGATGATACTTGTTTTATGAGTTGATATAACAGACACTAAACAAAGCACTCAAGATATATTAAATATCTAAAAGATTACAGTAGCTTATAAAGTGCGATAATTATGAATCCATAATTATTTTGAAGATGGGTTTAATACGGAAGAGTTTGATTTTATTGTGCGTTCTGGGTTTGACGTATACCCAAACTACCAATCAAGAATATGAGCTGGCGCAGAAGGAGTTAGAGGAATATATTCAAACAGCGAAGAAAAAAGTCAACGAAAAATGGAGGCCGCTATACCATGTTGCGCCCCCAGTAGGCTGGATGAATGATCCAAATGGTTTCTCATACCACAATGGAGAATATCATTTATTTTATCAGTACTATCCTTATAAGAGCGAATGGGGGCCTATGCATTGGGGACACTCTTCAAGCCCGGACCTAGTTAATTGGAAAACCTTACCCACAGCTCTTTTACCGGAAAAAGAACAATGTTTCTCAGGCAGTGCCGTGAGCGAAGGTAATACCATGACTTTGATATACACTGGACACGAGGTTACCGACGTGGAACCAAAATATAAGGAGAGCCAGTACTTAGCGTTTAGTGAAGATGCTGTCAATTTCCGCAAATTTGAAGGTAACCCAGTTTTGTCTACCACTGACTCGCCAGATTTCCGAGACCCAAAGGTATGGAAGTACAAAGATAACTATTATGCTGTCATTGGAAGCAAAACAAACAACCAAGGAAGAGTCCTCCTGTATAAGTCTAAAGATTTGAAAACTTGGGAATTTTTATCTGTTCTTGCGGAATCGAATGGTAACTTAGGTTATATGTGGGAGTGCCCCGACTTTTTTGAATTAGATGGTAAATTTATTCTTCTTATGTCACCTCAAGGAGTTGAGCCACAAGGAGACAGATATAAGAATATTTTCCAAACCGGTTATATAATCGGTACATTTGACTACAATACTAATAAATTTATAGAAGAGATTCCGTTCCAAGAAATAGATTTTGGCCACGACTATTATGCTGCTACGACAACTGAAGCATACGGAAAACGCTATATTGTAGCTTGGTTTGCTATGTGGCAAACGCCTCACCCAGAAGACGTCGATGGATGGGTTGGAACTATGACACTCGTAAGAGAACTACATCTTGTGAATAACAAAATCCTGCAAATACCTGTTGAAGATATTGTTAAATTAAGAGATAATATCGCTTTCGAAGGCGAAATAAAATCAAACGAAGTACGCAATTTTGGTAAAGCGGTAGAATTACTGATTGATAGTGATTTAAATCAGAAAGTGGATTTGTTATTGGATGGGCTTGAAGGTGGTAATAGCGTATCGTTGCGCTGGGATCCCGCAGTTCGTAAAGTTGTTGTTGATCGAGGATCTAATGACATCAGGCAAGTTGAATGGACACCACTCGGAACTCACTCTTGGAGGGTATTCCTGGATGCCAGTTCTTTGGAACTTTTCTGTGGAAATGGTGAGGTAGTGTTCAGCAGTAGAGTTTATCCTCTAGGCGGATGGAGGCTAACGAATAAGAGTCCTCAAACTATTCGAGTCAAGGCTTACAACTTAAAGCGAAGTGTACCGGAAACTTCTTCGTCTTCATGGCTTTGGTCCCATTTCGCTTATGGTCCCTTCCCGTATGTTCTTACTATAACGACCTTAATTTTTCAAATATTATTAAGTCCGTGTTTATCGCTTTAAATCCCTTTTGACAGTTCTCTTCTAGGTGACAGTGGTCCATTTTTTAATTTTAAGACAGTCTAATTATATGGTCACACGTTTGTTGTGAAGCGTAGATTTAATCATAATTGTAATTTATTATTCATCTTTGTAATTTTAAATATTTCTATATTGCACAAATAATGTATTTTACTTTAAGATAAGCAACTTTAATTATTAAGGCCAGTTGCAATATCCTTATCCCATACTTGACACTTATTAGGTTTATTATCTCGAAAAACCGAAGTATAGTTAATTAGAAAAATATCGGTCTTGATAATCTTTACGTGGTCTGAAACTTTAATTAAAATTATGCTTTGTATTATTTTGCTTTTGTCTAAGTGTATTAAATAAATGTTATTAAATTAATTAATTGAATGTGCATATTTATTAATTTAATTTCATTAAATTACATTTGTTTGTTTTATATTTGTTTTAATATTAAATATTAGCGTATGGTTATTATTAATTAGGTATATTTTAACCTTCATCACAATATGATACATTTTTAGTAATTATTTGCTTAATGTGTATATAGAATTATAGTTTTAAAATATCCTAAGTTATATTTATTATATAACTAGCGGCTCACCCTCGCTTCGCTCGATAGAATGAGGTCAATTATATGACGTACACGTAGATACCCAATAACCAGTACACACTGCAATGACTCGCAAATAATAAATTCTCAATTTTACATATAATTTTATATACAGTACATAACTATTCTTAACTTACTAAAACATATTTACTGACATCTCATCTATATATCTATAAAAACAAAGTCAGGTTTGTTACACACTTATAACTCTAGAACGGCTAGACCGATTTTTATGATCTTTGTAGTGTTGTATTTGTCTTCACTCCGAATAGCAGAATAACTATTTGAAATTCGGAAAAATTCACGAAAAAAAATTAAAAAAAAATATCTATTCCATACTAAGCGTGAAAACGTACCTCGCGACGTAACTAGCGAGAGGACGAACCTGAGCGAAGCGACTGTGAGTCGCTAGTACAAAATAAACGGTAAGTACGTTTACATATTAATCTTTTGTAAAGAGTCCCAAAATGACTACGATGTCAGGGCTTTTATTCACCAGTTTAGAATAAAATAGTAGATAGAGATAAGGTTGTATTTATGTTTATATTTTAGAAACATCACATCTTTGCATAGAGCGTGTAAACTTTGACTATTGATGAAATCTAGTATCATCTCCGGTAAGTCGAACGCTGAAAATACTAACTTTCTTTTGTTTGTAGCTCTGACGCTGGCCCTGTGTAAAAAGAGTAACAAGTTTATGCTTATTTGTGCTGATAAAGTTTCCACAATGAAATCTATATACTTACAGAAAAATAAAATTGAAGTGTCTGTTTGTAATGTCAAAATAACAGCGTTTTTAACCGACTTCCAAAAACGAGGAGGTTCTCAATTCGTCGGAATCTTTTCTTTAATGTAGTATGTTTACCGATTACATATATATATATATATATAAAATAAATACCGGCTTATATACACTAAAAAGTAAAAAATAACTGGAAGGGGGTTTTTATTTACTATAGAAACCCAATCAGATATTTTTGAAGTCGGTGTCAGGTTTGGTTTCCATGAGTATCTCTGTGGATATCCTTCATATAATAAAATTGTAACTAAGCCGAATCTATACAAAAAATATTTTTTGGAAAATCTTATTGAAATAAACATTATTATCGATACAGAGGCCGAATCTATAGTTTTTAGAATTTTTGTCTGTCTGTGTGTCTATCTGTTTGTTACCGCATCACAGAAAAAAAATTGATTTGATTTTGATGAAATTAGGTATGGTGATAGCTGGTTATCCAGGTCAACATGTAGGATTCTTTTTACCGCGGGGAAATATCTCATTTCTGAGGAAAAATACAAAAACTGCAAGGTAAGAGTATACTAATATGTAAAACCTAAGAATTTGGTTTTTGATCATCTGAATGCGGGCGGAGCCGCAAGCAATGCTAGTTAAATATATAAAAATAAAAAAATATATTGTCTTTATTTAAGAAAAAATATTTGTTATACCTATTAGCAGTAGGTGCACGAATTTGCTGCTACTGCCCCACTGCATTGCGCTAACCAGTTTCATAAAAATAAAAATTCTTAGTTGGTAATCTAGCTTTCAAGCACTAACCAGAATTTCTTTACATGGAAGATTATTTAAATCTAAAACTTGGCATATCTATATATAATTGTACCACAAATTTTACGTTTGTTTATATATCTCTGGTTATATACATAGTTTATATATATTTTTCTAATATTTTCATTATGAATTGATAAAGATTTTATTAAAACAAGTCTGTAGATATAATAAAATTCTGAGTCGAATCTGTACGTTGAATATTTTTTGGACAATCTTATAGAAATAGTCATTATTATCGATACAGAGGCCGAATATATAGTTTTTAGAATTTTTGTCTGTCTATCTGCCTGCCCTTTAGTCTGTCTGGGAACGAATCACCAGAAAATCATTGGAAAGAGTTTGATAAAATTTGGTATGATGATAGCTGGTTATCTGGGTCAATATATACGATACTTTTTATTGCGGAAAAATATCTCATCTCTGAGAAATCTATAATAACCGTTAAAAAGTAGGGACGAACCCATGTGGAGCGAGAGTGAGACGCTAGTAAATAAATTTTAACTTACGACAGGTTACCATGGTAACATCTCAAATGCGTCTCTCAGCCTCATACCCGGCAGGGAGGAAAGGCTTGAAATTCTAGATCTAAGGAAATCCTTACATATTCATTCGAACTCACCTGACGTATGTTATAAGACACGATATTTTAAAATTGGTTTTGGATTAACGTACTTTGAAGCTTTAATATTTACCAATAGACTAACGCTTACGACAACTTCTTATATAGCTATAATTATTATCTATGCCTTTCACTGATACTTAGAAGGACAAGCTTCGAATACACGAATTTGGGTAATGAATACATTTGTCCGACATACCCGATCTCATATAGTTTTGTTTAGCTTTCTTTTTGCAATATTTTTGATTCTGAAATTGTACATGTAGAAATCTATCTCAAATAAATTAAAATATCAAAAGAAATAACGACAAAAAATAAAAATAGCTCAAAAAAAGGCACGGACGGTCTGTGGATGTTAGACTTACTCATAAAAAAAAGAAAAAATTACACGAATTTAAAATGTTTGATAGGATTCACATACATAAAAAGAAAAAGATGCTAGAAAAAATCCCAAGAACGCTGTCGAATAGGATAAAAGGATCCTTCGATTTGATGGTTTATGACCGTTGACTAAATGCCAGCCGTCCTTTCGAAGACGCATCTAGAACAAGACTCATTATCTAAAGTAATTTCCTGTGGTTTTGTTCTACATAAAAGTCATGAGCCTAAGTAGTGGGTTCACTTCTTGTTTATGTCTTAAGTGATGGTCTCCTTCCTTATTTGCTATCCGCCCATATCAGGAAAATGTATAGTGAATGGCATTTCTGCCCACTGTAATTTTTCCTAGCAAGACAAGAACCAAAATATTTGACTATAAATATTTTTTTGTTGAGTAGATTAATGTAGACTGAGTATGAATATAGCTGGAAGGCTGAAAAGTGAAGTATATAGGCAATAATTGACATTTAGATAATACTAGTGACTCACCTTCGCTTCGCTCGTGTTCGCCCCTATTTACGTTTTAAAGTTTTCTATATGTTGACCCGGATGACGAGTTATCATCATACCAAATTTCATCAAAATTTGTCCATCGGTTTTTTCGTGATGCAGTCAGAGACAGACAGACAGACAAAAATTCTAAAAACTATAGATTTAGCATCTGTATCGATAATAATGACTATTTCAATAAGATATTCCAAAAAATATTTAATTTACAGATTAGACTCAGAAATTTATCATATGTATAGACAAATTTGGGTTTTAGTATAATTGAATAAATGCGAAAGTTTGTGTGTATATGTGTGTCTGTTACTGTTTTACACTTAAACGGCTGGGCGGATTTGCATGTAATTTAAACTGCGACACAAATAGACTGCGACTGTCAGTTTGGGAAGCACATTAGCGAGGGTAAGTCATTAGTACTACATCTATACATATAATAAAATTGTAACTAAGCCTAATCTGTTAATTAGTAAAAAAATAGTAATTAGTAAAAAAAATATTTTTTGGAAAATCTTATTGAAATATACATTATTATCGATACAGAGGCCGAATCTGTAGTTTTTAGAATTTTTGTCTGTGTGTCTGCGACCGCATCACGGAAAAACCACTGAAGGGATTTTGATGAAATTTGGTATGATGATACCTAGTTATCCGGGTCAACATATAGGATACTTTTTATATTAAATATCCCATTTACGAGAAATTTAAACTAAACGTTAAAATGTAAGTAGGGACAAACCCGACCGGAGCGAGGTTGAGTCACTAGTATTATATAGTATTATAAAAGTCGCAATTTAGTGAAGTGTAACAAAAGCTGCCACTCAAGTCAATGAGGTAAACATGCCCTAAAAACGGTAAGAATGCAGGGCGCGTCAAGATGTTTTCCTGCTATTCAGGGCTTAATGAATAGGTAATTTTGTTGTCAAAATGCAGAATAGGTTTTGGAATTGTGAGTTGTAAATTGGCATGACCTATTTGATTGATAACTGATTAACTAGCTCATTCGTCTACACGAGAGAGTGATTGCGAGATGATTATGAGATTGCTGATCATTAGGTCCCTTTTTTTTTTTAACGTTGGGAAATGCATTTACGCACGACGTGTGGGACTCACCGGCGTAATACAGCCAGTACTACCCAATAAAACCCAACAAAACCTTCCCCCGTCTTAATGGGGCGTCGCAGGATCGCTTACGCATTCAACTACGACGCCCCGACGGCAGGTCTACCGAAGCAGACCACCACAACCATGGGGTTGCTCCAAGGTCCACTCTGCTATCAGAGAAGTACCAGGAGCAACCCGCAAGG